GCGGCGGATTTAGCGAATCGCATGACCAAGGTGGAGCATAAATTGGACATACTTCGCGATATACGGGGCGCTTTCCAAGAGCGCAAGGTTCCGTGGGTCGACATTGACGTTATGCTTCCGCCGGGGACTATCCAGCCTCCTTCACGGCCCGACAATGGTGGCATTGACGACGACAATACCGATTTCGAGGATACCCCAGATCTCCAGTACGGGCAATATACGTCCCTCATCCGAGGCTTAGGGGCGCCGATGTTCCTGCCAACGTCGCGGCTAAAACGAGCGCCATCGCAACCCACGAATGTGAGCAAGTCTAAGGTGTTCACCAAAAGCCAGAAACAGGACTTCCGTCTAAAGATGTGTGAATTCGTGGACACAGAGGAGAGATATGTGAATAAACTTTATACTCTTGTGCGCCATGTGGCGGAGGAGTACCGGCTGAAAGCTCAAGGAAGAGCGCCATCGAGTACTAGCCCTGACGAGGCCGCCCTGGCCACTCTATTTCCCCCCTGTCTAAATGAGATTCTCGACGTCAATATGGGTTTCCTAGAAGTGATACGTCAGGTACTTGAAGAAACGGAGAAGGAGGCCATTGAAGACATCACGGTCGATACGGAACTCTTGTCGTCTGTATCGCAACGACACTCATCGAAGGAAGAGGGTGATGCAGTTGGGGCTGTCGCCTTCGCACACGCCCTCATTGAGTGGTTCCCCCGATTCTCCGATCCATATGCAGACTATATGCGTGCCCATACAGGATTTACCCAAACACTGAATTCCTTCATGAGGGACAAACAATCCAGCTTTTCGAGGCGTGTCCATGACACCGGGGAACAATTGCTACGGTCACTGCTGATGGAGCCTGTCCAACGGTTACCCCGTTACAGTCTCTTAATCGACACTATGACGAGCAGTCTTCCTTTGATACACCCCGCCGTCCGACCATTCCTGAAAGCGCGAGACATCATCAAGGATATATGTTCGCTAGACGATCCTTCATCGACGAACCATGATCAAAGCTTTCGCCGACTAAAGGAGTTAGTCGATGGTTGGCCAACAACCATATTACCAACTGGTCGCCTGATAACAGCTGTCGATTTCTACGAGCTGTCACCACCATATCAGCTGGACAATCCAGGCCCCGATCCTACCGCTGGCATTATGTTGATATACAAGAACTGTCTGGTACTGCTATCGAAAACCCCCGGCAGCAAGACAACCGCGCGCGGTCTGTTGGCCGAACTGGACAACGCGGCATCAGCAGCCAATGGCTCGGGTGGCTCATTACCTTCAGCCGATATCCGTGTTGTGCAAGTATATGATCTCCACACTGTACGTTGCATGCAATCCACGTGCGGACGGATCTTGTTCCTATCACCTACATCGGTGAAGTCGCGTCCAAACCAGAATACAACCGTTGACCTTCTGGCCTTAGAGCCGGCTTCCATGTATGAGGGCCGGGCCAGCCGAGTGATTGAGGAGATTGTGAAGGCAAAGATCGAGGGCCGGTTCTCTGAAAGTGAACGAGAAAGCGGCAAATGGTCTCTCCGGAGTCCCACGGGAACTGTTGGAAATATCGGCATCTTGGCGTGTGTGTTCGAGGAGGAACCGAGTGCTGCAGTGAATCGAACCGGTCTGTCAAAAGTAAGGGTCGAGTTTGACATCCCAAAACCGCTTCGCAACAAGCTGTTGAATAGCCCAGATTTGGAGGTGATTGTTTCCGTATCCTTGTCGAGTGAAGACCAGTATCGAGTGGACATAGACTCAGTAGTTGGCATCGCTTCCTCAGATATCGTTACAGTGGATAGCTTTGTTCCTGTGCTCTCCAAACGCCGTAAGTATACAGCAATGAAGAAAACCCCATTGGCGCGAGTACCGGTCTTTCACTGACGGATGTAGTCCTGAACTTGCTTTTGCCGTTGCATGGCACCCAAAACCGGACCATGACGGAGTCAATTGTGCTCTCCAACTTTGACATCCTTCGCTACCTTTCGGGCCATCTCATAGCGCAGCTCAAGGTCCCTCGTACCTTTCGCCCTCCGTCGCCCTCAAAACTGCTCTCGAGTCTTCTGGGTGGAAATCAATCAAGAGAAGGCACACCAAGTGCCAAAACACCGAATTCTGCAACTTTATTGGGTGAATTCCCCAAGATGCCTCCCCCACGGTCCAGCGTCTCACGCTCCAATACACTACCTTCGGTTTTCCCAAGCAAAGAAGAGAAGAAAGAAGACCCCCTGCCCAAGATTTCCGTTGTTGGGACAACGTCTTCGAAAGGCTCAGAAAGCCCGTTCAGTGTCTTGGAACAGAGCTTTGCTGCGTACGTCCTCTCCCTTCAGTCCCGCAGTGGGAACATCGTTGGGCGGACACTTCGGGGTAGAGACAACGTTGATCGAGCTGCAGTCAATGAGCTGTATAATGTCTTGTTAGAAGATCCCGGACAAATCCAGGCAGCAGCCGAAGTACCTGTCGACACACTTTTCGTAGCCTTCGAGACGTTCATGGCAAACGCATGGCAGGAGCAAATGGGCCCAGTACTGGAATCCTCGTCATTGAAATCACTTCAAAGTCAATTCGACACCATGTATCCCCGCGAATTCGAGGAGAATTTCCGGAAATTCATTGCGGAGACGAGTCCGCAGAATCGTCGCGCTTTAGCTTCCCTTGTGCGGTTACTTGCAGAATTACTTGATGCCTCCGGAAACGACGGTGACCGAGGTGCTCTAACGGCCGCTTTTGCAGAGATTCTGACAGTCGAAGGCGATCCGATGCAGCACATGTCCCTCTTGGATCGACTGGTTGACGATTTCGATAACCTTTTTGACGAGTTCATTCCTGGAGGGGCATCGTTGGAAGGTATTCTGAACTGCGATCAAAGTAAACCCGTCTCACAAACGATGGGCTCAATAAGCTCCAACGCGTCGTCCTTCCGAAAGCGATTTGGTTTCAGTCTGCACCGAGAAAATCAACGATCTGAGGGGGAGAGCAAGGTCTCATCGATCCTAAGGACTCTAAGCAAAAGCAAAGGCTCTGGTGATTCAGAGCCAGGCACTCCGAAGGGCTCTTTGCTACGCTCGAAATCAATAGATATCGATACGAGCTTAGGCCATCTTCTGCGGCCTGGTTCGCGTGACCGTCCCGGGGCATCTACATCACAAGAGTATCTTCGAAGACCAGGGAGTTCCCAGGAGGAGACGGCATCTCTGTCCTCCATTCGGGAAATGCCAACTAATGGAGTTGTGAAAGTGCGGAGGAAGAGGAGAAGCTCTCTGTCGGACCTGAGACCAGGCACGGCATCAACGGACACGTCAGCCGTATCTCCGGGGCAGGAAGAGAGGCCTACCACAGCAGGGTCGTCCTCCGACGCAGTGACCCCAACCAAACAGACTCGCCCACAAACCAACCATGGCTCAGGTTCTACGCAACGAAGCACTTCCCCCACTAAGAGCGGTTCACCTACTCGGATGACTTCGCCCAGCCGACGATCACCGACGCGGCCTGCCACCCCCAGCCGAAAAGAAAACATTGACCCAAAGCTGTCACATGTTGAGCGCGGAGCATGTTTGCGAAAGAAAGAGGATACACCGGTATCACCTACACAAGACTCTAAGAGAAGATCACGAGCAACCAGCGTACCCTCCTCGAGGGCCCCTGGATTGAAGGAACGGCCACTCCCTGTTAACGGTGCATCGGTACAGAAGCCGCAAAAGCTGCGGATGCAAAGTCCACAGAAGGTACACAACTTTTCTTTTCATTGTTTTTCGTTGCTCTCTTTTTAGGAAAGTTACTAATACATACGGTATATAACAGCTCCGAGATCGTCTTCAGAACGAAAAGAAGGCTCAGAGTGCGGCACAGCTGGGGCTGAAGGACGAACTGTTCCTTATCGGTGAGGAATTACGAGCGCTCAAGATCGCACCACCACAGCAAACCAGACATGCAAGACAAGATTCTGAACATTTGGATGAACCTTTCTCGCCAACAAACAATGCGGCCCTCGTATCGCGTGTTCGTCACCTCGAGATGCGTTTCGATATGCTCTCTTCAGAGTTCAACAGCCGGACATCTGCCATCGAGAAAGATTTGGAGTCGTCTCTCGTGGTTAGCGAGAAACGAGCTAAGAAACTTGACGAGCTATATCGTGAAGCCAGCGCCGAGAATGAAGCCCTTTATGACCGGTTTAACTCGGAGCTGAGCAAGGTTGCAAAAGACGTGCGAGCAGGAGATGCTGAAGATGCGCTCAAATCCCAACTCTCTTCAGCGTTAGAGGAGATTGGCCGGTTGAAAAAAGAAAATTTCCGGCTGAAGCGAGAGGTTGGAGGTCTGAGAGCTCAGCAAGCCGCGGTGGCCTTACTGAAGGCGAGCGAGTGAACAATCGAATTGTGGTTTTGGGCCAGTGGTCGTTCTCCAAAACTCCGGTCATGGAAGTATACTTCTTTACCTCTTACCTGCTCTTTTTCAGAAAACGAAATGGATTGGACACGATTTACACGCATTTACTAAAACACAGACGTTCCTTTTCCCTTTTTTCACTACTTTTTTACTCGATTGTTGTTGGTCTACGGCGTCAGCACAGCCTTTGAATATGTCCAGGAAGGAATATGACTGCTCGGTATGGGGATCGGTTGGAGAAGTCCAGGAAAGTCTCTTTCTATTTTCTCTTTTTTTTTTTTTTTTTTTTTCCCTCAAACAGCACCTTCCTTACTATGTGGATAAATGCTCTCTTTCTTTTTCTTCGGGAGTCGATGCAAATCTTCTTGGCTATTTTCATGTATCCGATGTCTTCGTTCTTTTTGCTTGTCCACTTTTGGTCACTTTAATTGCACTGAGATAGCGTAGCCATAGGAGTTTACATGTCGGTCATTTTCTATTCCCTTTCTTACCTTGTCTTTTCCTTTCTTTGTCTTTCTGTTTCTACCTTTATTTCACTTTTACTCCTCGTGTCTTACCACTTCCACTATGTCATATTTCACTCTCCTTCGATAATGTAGTATAGCTCCAATAGCTTACAGCCAGCCCATCAATTTCATCGGCTTGTTGTCAATCATCTTATACATCCACTCCCACCGTAATCTCCCGGGTATCTGCAAAGACTCCCACATCCCAGGAAACCACAAATCCAACGTTGGCAACCCCACCGGCAAGTCATACTCAAATCCACAAGAACCCTTCTCAATTACCACCAAAGGAAGCGAAAACCGAGTCTGTCCCGGTGCTTCCTTTCCGAGCTGATCCAATAGTCCAACCAAAGCAGGATCTACCCTCTTTTTCTTCTCCGAACGCCCTCCCCGCTCATAAACCACCCGTCGAATCGCCTGTAGATCCGACGGCTGAAACGGACGAACAAGCAGGGATATCACCTCCTCTTTAGAGGTCTCCTGAGCCACCTCAACCCCAGTCCCATGGGAGCCCTGTTCGGGGGTAATACTAAATCGAACCCAAAATCGATTATCCCAAAGCTTCCAGGACGTATAACAAGCCGAAAGCCCTGAAGCAGGAACCTCAACACGAAGAGTCGGTAACCGATTCCGCATGAACGGTTGACGGGATAAGAGCCAGGTATTATCACCCTTGGTACTCGGATCCGCTTCAGTACTTATTGTGTCTTGGTCTCCCTTGGTCTTCACCGGTTGAAACATCACCCCGCCTAACGTGAATGGTTTCCTTTGTTTGGGTTCCGGTTGGTCCTGTGTTGGAAACACAAGGTCCGTGAAGGACTCGAAACTGCGGAGTGGGAAGTGGTTCTCTGGGAATGGGGCTAGGAGGTCGGTTATTCGGCGGAGGGTGAGGCATTTGATTTGGTGGATTCTTTGATTTTCTTTGTCGTTGTCTTTGGCTTTTGTTTTGGTATTGGCATTGTTGGGGACTGTGTTGAGGAAGGAGGTTGGGTCTATTGGTTTTGAGGGGAACGTGAGGGTGATTGTCCCCGCGGGGAGATTCAGTTGGTTGATTTTGCAGGAGGTGAGGAGGGTGTTTGAGAGAGATGTTGAATTCCGGAGGAGGGATTGGCTTGAGTTAATCAGAGATAGAATAGACGGGCCTTGGAGAGCCTTTGGGAGTTTATTCTCAGCCAGGAGACTGCGGATTGCGTTGCGGGGGGTTAGAGTTGGGTCAAAGTTTGTAGGGTCAGAGACGTAGGGGATGCTGTTTTCGTGGCAGGTTGCCAGAAGGCTGGATTTGGGGAAGGGGAGGAGGGGACGACAGATTAGGATTCCTCCTGTTGAGACGATGGTGTCGTTTCTCGACGGTTGAGGTCCGGATGGGACCGTATATGATGATCCGCTCTCGGAGACGCCGTAGATACCGTGGCATTCGGGGATGCGTGTCACTTCGGGGATACCTGCAAGACCGGCGCCTTTGGCTCCGGTGCAGAGTCGCCAGAGAGTCGTCTCGACGGTGTCGTCTTGGTGGTGGCCCATTAGGAGGGCTTCGATCTGGCGGTCTCGACATGCTTTGCCCAGTGCTTGGAAACGGAGCCTGCGGGCATGCGTCTCGAACGCGGTCACCTTGGATGGTGACATGGTACTCTCGGGCCAGATCAATTCGAGGATCTCGGACTTGATTCCTGAGTTTTTTTTTTTTTGGGTTAGCGTTTTGTTTGGTATTGAATGTTAGAGTGTATGATGGGGCATAGATACCGATGTCTTGGAGCCATTGTGAGACTACATTAGCTTCGCGAGTACTCTCTTCTCTCGCTTTGTGGTCGACGATGAATGCTGTGACGGATATATCATTCGGTCGACTCTTTTCCCATTGTTTACTGAGATATGCTAATGCCATGGAGTCTGCGCCGCCACTCACTGCTAGACCTACAAGGTATTAGCATGGAGATCTACAGCTCCCAAAGTTGGGTGTCTTTCGGTGATATCAACTTACCCAATCGGCGTGGGAAGGGCCGTGACAATCGGGAGCCGAGCCATACTCGCTGGAAGGATTCCAGGGATTGCGAGGCAGTTATTGCTTGTGTACCGGTATGGCGCCGGAGGGAGAACGCCGCCATAGATTCACTGGCGATTTCTCCCGTGAGAAAGCCTTCTCGGTGTTTAGTGCTCAGTTGTAAGAAATGTGGTACGGAGGAAGTTCAATGGATAGATGGCAAGTGTTTTGGGTCTTGGCACGGATGATCCGCTCCGGGGATCTTTATATCGACCTCGACCATGACATGACTTCGGTCTATAGTTCCCCAGCTTCTACAGCTAGAATTTAATTTCAAACACAGTGTTATTGTCCTGATTGTGGCTGCTATTAGCAGCATATATACATACGATTCTTTACGTCCATGCGGATATTCACACTATGTCCAGCACTGTACACAGAAGTAATGTCACAAAGAATTAAAAGTTAAAGCTCTCCACTCGAATCAAGGGTTATGGATAGAGACGGAGGCCGATCCAGAGGCTGTCTGCGAATGGATACTCCCTGGCGGTGCACTTCCACCTTCTCCCTGCGACATGCCTCCTGCTTCGGCAGGCAGATGTGAATCTGCTCCAGCATCCTGGTTGCCTCTGTCATCCTCTTGACTAGGGCCGGGCATTCGGATTTCCTTCTTTCCATTTGCTTTGTAATGGAGCATCATATCTCCCGATGAACGCCAAATATGAGTGCGAATCGTCGCCAGAGTCATATTGGGGGGTATCAGCTTGTTCAACGTTAGCGACCTCTTCAACTACATCGAACATAAACATGACATACAACTTTGTGACAGTACAGTTCCAAGTACTCTTCTGGCTTCATCGCATTCTCTTCGGGTTCGTGAGGGTTGGGTGGGTCGATTCGCTCGGCCACATACGCAAGGATCTTCTTCGCTCGTAGCATGCGGTTTGCATTCAGCCGGTTGTTGGTCGTGTTGCCATTGGCGACATTGCTAGATGATAATTAGTTTGCTATCTCCGAAGCGATGATATTAGACGGGTCCTCTACATACACCTCTGGCTTCACAACAGGCGGCAAAAGATCATCATACGGTTTCAGTGTAAAAGCGACCTTGACGGGTTCCTTGAAAGGCACTTGGTTCTATGAAAAGAGTTAGAGGCAATGTGGGCCACCGTGAAGAGGCGGCATACCTTGAGTAGCAGATCAGCAAGCCACAGAGGAATCGATTTCTCCAGTTTGTCGATCTCTTCCCGGATACTTCCTACACTGCCTCGATAGAGGTCAGAAGCCACAGCAGTTTCTCCCGTTTCTTCTTGTATCAGTACTGCAACACGGTCTGGTATACTCAGCACCGGCGTTTCATTCTCCTGGCTTGGGGAGAAGGCTGGTGTCAGCTCTTGCCCAGGGTGTGCAGCGAGATGCTCGTCATATTCAGAGCGGATGCGCTCAATGAAGCCGCCTAGGTTGTTTTCGAACACCTTCTCTTCCTTTATTGAGGATTTGTCGGACTCCTCCACCTTTTCCTCTTGAATCTGGGGCTTGACTTCCGATGAAGTCCGACCGAGTTTCTTTGGGAAGTCCATTCTGAACTTCTTTCCAAACAAAGAACTACCCTTTTTCCGCTCCTCTTTATCAGGCTCCATTGGTGATTGTGGAAGAGCTGTTGGTGTCGGCTCCCCTGGTGTCGGCAACGCCTTATCGGTATCCAATGGAGGTAGACCATGGGTTCTAGGAGATGAGAGATAGTCACTCGACTTGTCCGACAGAGAGCTCCTCGTCATATCAGCAGTGGGATGAGACGTGAGATAATCTGAAAACTCTCCCGGTGAGGTGCCAAGGTGACTATTATTGCTTGCATTTGGGTTAAGCGTTGGGGTTGCGAGAGATCCGGGGCTGTTGGCGAACCCTATCCCAAAGCCTGGAGTCGAGGGGCTACCAATAGATTCGTATCCGGGCCTCAGAGATGATATTGATGGGTCAAAAGATGCGGCTAGATTTCGTGACCCATCTGCAAATGGTATATCCATAGGGGCGGAGGTATTCGACAGATTTAGTTTTGCGAGCTCCTCTGCCTTTGCTAGGGCAGCGCCGCGATATTGAGAATCACGTTTGAGCTCTTCCTCTATCAGAGGGGCAAAGAGCCAGCGCAAGATCCATTTGCCTAGGTTGACTACGGTTTGGCCGTTAGCTAATAAACCCGAGCGAGTGACAAGGGTGGAGGGGGGGGGATATTAGACATACTTCTTTGGTCGTCACGAATCTGTGAATAATCTGACAAGTTGGCCTCATCGGCGTAGACCTCGGCATCAAAGCAGCGACCTGGTTCCAGTATCACGGACAATCTTCCAGTACGGATATCGATCGTGCACCAGTGAGCAATGCTTTCTGTCGTGTTGAGCTCGGATGCAACATCGTCTATATGACGCTTGCCATATGACTGAATTGGCACACACTACAAGCCGTTAATTAGTGAGTTCTGCCGTGGATATTTTCCTTCCAGGCGGCTTCTATCAACAAGGCATACCTTGAGAAGGTCCCAAAGAACCACTTCACCAGCAGAATCCTGCGTTAACGTCCGCTTTCTGTCATTCAAGAAAAAATGCTTGATCAATCCATGCTGGCCTTCGATTGTATCATCTGGCAGTGCATAGACAGGAAGCGTAAGCTCCAGTTCGTCCTCTATCTCGGATGACGGTGATTGTGCATTTGCATTCGAGTGCGGTTGGGTAGATTCGGGCACCCTTGCCTTGGGGAACGTCGAAGTATTCGAGAGCAAAAGAACTGACTCATACGGAATCTTCTTCGGTCGACTATCTGTCGTCTTTGAGTTCTCTGATGTTGTGGTTTCAGTACCTGAAGCAGTTTCTCGCTCCCTTGATGATGGTGGCTCAATGTCGGCAGTGGTGTCCACGTCATTCCAACGGTTAATACTAGATTTTGGTGTCGCAGTCCAGATGTAGTCTCCCGCTGCTACGACATTGACTACTCCGTCGTGTTCTTGTAACGTTGCGACACAGAGACCTTGCTCAATGTCCGCCGCATATCGCGTGTCGGTTTTCGCAACAAGGCCAGACCGGTCGCTCGAGTAAAAGACGGATAGCTGAGGGTGGTTTGAATAAAGCGACCAAACACTGTCATTGTGCATGGTTAATGTGTGCATGCACCTTCCAGCGGTTAGAGACCAGATCTTGACCGTTTGGTCAGACGACGCCGTCATGATCGTATCCCCATCGCGATTTACCAGAATGTCTCGAATGTTATCTGTATGTCCGACAAATTTGGTGATCAGCTTCCCGGATTTGGGATCCCATACTCTGACCACACTCTCTGGCCCGCCGCTGGCGATCACAGAAGATACGGCTCCGAGCGCATATACAGACCCTTTGGCCGTGCTATCCCCTCCGCAGGCGTCAATATTCAATATCTCCCCGCCGCGATTCAAGTCCCACAGGTAGACTTTGTGATCAAGACCTCCGGACGCAACCCAAGAGGCATGACTCCCCGGTGTGGCCAGAGCTTTGACGTAATCCGCATGTTTCCCAATCGGGTCCGAGACTTCCGTACATTCAGAATGCGGTCGCCATAGCCGAACAGTAGTATCGGAGGATGCAGAGACTAGAGCCGAGTTGTTCTTCGTTAGAACAATGTCATTGATCCAGTGGCTGTGCGCCTGGACTTGATTTCGGAATGTCGTGGGAGCCGGTTTCGAAGCGCCCAAGGTGGGAGGGGACGATGACTTCAGCGATAGATTTAGATCCCATGAGCAGATGACACCATCGCGACCAGCGGAATACCTGTTTCACGGACGGCAGTTAGCGCCGAGTTGACGACGACACCGGAGAAGACGGAAAAGCGACCGTTCCCAGAGCGCGGCAAGGATCCCGACGGAAAAGCCGAAATCGAGGGTTAGAGGGTGCTCACAGGATGGAGTTGTCTGTGTCGATTTCTAGGCCGTTTACTCCCAGCCGATGACCCCCGGGGGCATCAGGCAGAGGTAGCACTGAGCAGAGCGTAAATCAATCGTTAGTGGAGGATCTACAAGTGAGACAAGCGTAAGACCAGGCAGCAGAAACACCACCGAGAGAGTGAATCGATAAGACTGAATTCAGCGAGAAAAAAGAACATACCATATGTGATCCTCTGGTGACTTAATTTCCGAGCCATATGGCGTTGAGGTCCTCCGGGGAGGCGAGTTGAGGAGGAGGTGCGGAGGAGACGGCGCTCAGTGCGGAGGTTACACCAAGTGGGCGGTCGATCACTCACCAAGTCGCAGCAGTCGCAACCATAGGCATCCCTCTTGCGTCTTAGTACAAGAAGGAAAGGACCGGAAAGAAAGAAATAAAATAGATTAAGAACAATGCTCAAAAGTCGAACAGGAAACAATACACCAAAGAGAAGGTGGGTAGGAGACGAATTAGAAAGAAAGAACCACGGCACGAGAGAATAGGAGAGAGGAGAGAGAAAGAGAAGCGCTACTGTTTAAGTGGTGTGCCTGGAAATGACAAGCGTGGAGGCTTTGATTATCTTAAGTTTGGATTTTGCTCCTTTACAGTTTAGCCCCGAAGGTCATCCCTCTTCCTCACATGATGGGCACAACGCGGTGCAGTGAAATCCATCCTACCGTACATAATCCTAGTAGTATAGTAATATCCACCTATCTATTCTTTCCCTACTTCCTTTTGGTTCCATTCTTTTTGATCATATTTTCAGCTCTACTGCAGCACAGGTACATTGAACCGAACCAGTGCGGGATGTTAATTACTATTGAACTATTTATTCTCCGGAACGGGACTAGACCAGGACCGCTTTCTACTCAGTGATTGCTTGATTGATCCCAGAGTGTGGGGTAAAAACAGGAAATACATATACGGAGTCCTACTCCCTCAACCCTTCTTAGATATTAAGCCAGAGCCAGAGCAATCTAGAATCAAGTCTAGATCAATCCTCTAATTACTCATTAATCCGGCTTTCTACCAAGCTGACTAAAATCCAAACCAATCTGGACCCCCAAAGATTGGGGGTATTAGTATGGCTAAAAAGCCGGGAGTTGGGCCAGGAACTTCGAGATATTATATATTAGGACTTAACAGAATCTTAGCAGGACAAAAATATTCGGATACATAATAGAACGTAAATATTAGTACAGTAACGCTAACAGGAGCTATGTAATAAATATCTACTGTAAAGTCACGTAAAGATACTACAGGAAGTACCCTGCCAGAGGCCAGTGGTTGTATTCCATGCAGGTTTTGGTATACAGTGTATGCAACTAGCCAATAGAATCAATTCCTACGAACTAGTAGCTCAACGCAAGCTCTACATCCACTAGCACGGGGTTCCAGGAGTGCCAGATATTATATATATGACCAATCCAACTCGTTATATACGTTGTTGCTAATATGCGATGTAGGGCTCCATGTGATTGATCCCTTATGGACTTGGCTGGCGGCCTGATAAGCTCTGAGAGTGAGGTCATCGGGGCATAAGCAGGATATATATAGAGAGTCCTTTGAACCTCCGTGAGAATCCCATCTTATAATACTAACGCTCCAGCATCTTTTTTTTTTTTTTTTTTTTTTCCATCTTGAAAAAGACAGACTAAATAGTAGTAAAAAAACAGCAGAAATGGACACCTCAATCACATCCATCAAGCCCTACTTTCAACCACCTGCGCGCAACGAAAAGAGCGCACCTGAATCACCGACCATTCAGAAGACGATCCAGGCCCTTCAACTACAGCCTCACCCCGAGGGAGGCTATTACAGCGAAACCGATCGCCACCCGCTCCGGATTCCAAATCCCTATCGTGACGACACGGACAACAGCAAGACAGTGATGGAGCCAGATGCTGAGAAAGCTACCCGGTCAGCGAGCACTACGATCTACTACTTCATCACGCCCCGGTCGCCGATGGGGTATTTCCATCGCAACAGGAGTCGCACGGTACATACCCTTCATCGTGGCCGAGGGCGGTACGTCATCATACATGCCGACCAGGCGAAGGAGAATGGAGGGAAAGCGCCCATTGAATCGTTTGTGGTGGGCCATCGGATTGAGAAGGGAGAGCGACTGCAATGGGTGGTGGAGGGCGGAAAGTATAAGTCCAGCTATTTGTTGCCGGATTCCGATGGCGATTTGCCTGACGATAACAAGTCAGAAGGGTTGTTAATCAGCGAGGTCAGTAGTCAATGCCAGTAAGCTGCTAGTATCAAAAGGAACGAGAGCTAACGATCGATCAAGACCGTTGTTCCAGGATTTGAGTTCTATGACCATGACTTCCTGCCAGCAGAGAAGATGGAACAGCTACTGACTCCTGAACAAGTGGAGGAGCTGAAGTGGATGGCGAGAAAGAGCTGAGACCATGTATAATGCAGGGAGAGCGCCCTATCCTATGTGCTATGATGTATTGTACAAGCGTGGAGATTATATATACAAGAGTCCTTTATTCGTCCTGTGATCTACTTTTTCTTTCGAGCGAATTCCATGCCCATTGGTAACTACCCAAGAACACGGCGCCTCCAATACCGATCCAGGCCACTCGTGGCCCGATACCTCTCCAGAAAGCCCCAAACCCTTCCTTGGAAATATCCTGAACCACATCCTTTATGCGCACTCGGCCACCTTCCACATCCCCCCGTCGAGCGAGCATGACTCGCGTCTTGATGACGTCGAGAGGGGTCGTAAGCCCGGCTGCAATTGCGCCAGCGACACTGCCAAACATAGCACTTGTGGAGGCCGGTACTTGGTCTATAGAAGGATCTGAGCCAGATTTCGAAGCATGCTGCATGCGCTTGGCATATGCCTCCTTCATTGACTCCCACATAGTGAACTGTAAAACGGTGAACGGGATTTCCCTTGCAATGGTGATACCGGCTCCACGGTACAGTTCCCTGATGACCTGTCCATAACCCCCACTTATCCCACGGACAGCATCTGGGTGGCGCAAAGCTAGAATATCCTTTAAGGCCAACAAACTGGAGCCGCCAAAGAGACCTGCTTGAGCTCTTTGCTTGACAACTTCAGTAGGCACGCGAACTGCGCAGGCTGCTACCTCACCCATCGAAGAAGCAAGAGAGTGTGTAAGAATTATGTGTGTCCGAGACGGAGTCTCGGAGCCCGACGCTGGTAGAAGAGAACGTTTCACGCCATCATAGACGATGAAGAAGGATGCGGCTGATGGTGCCGAGCCGAAGAGGACGGAAGGGAGACCAGCATAGATTCCTCGGATGGTTTGTCTCAGGGATAGACTGGCGGTGGGAGCTGATGGGGCATGGTGTCTAGCTTTCTGAAGGCGTGTTTTGATCGTATCTAAAGGGTACAAAGAACAGTCGACAGTGAGCCCGGCCAATGCACCAGACTTGTGCGGCAGGGAAGGTTAGTTGACAGATGATCAATTTGAGGGGGTGAAGGGGGACCAAGCGTGATTGTCTCAGCATACAAGCAAAGATCTCGTCCATAAGGAGACCAATGGCTCCGCTTCGGGGGACTGAGCCATGATAGAGAAACGCGGGTTTGGGATGGTGGCACTCAAGAGCGGACAGCAGAGGAATTCCCGGCGTCTCTTTGGATATGAACAAACTCCGATAATCGCAGATCTTGCTAAACTCCGCAATCTCCGCCGCTCGGAGGAACGTCAGGCAACTTTTGACTGGTATATACCAATCGAATCGTAAATTATTATTATATCTTTTCTGAATACCATATTTCTCTCTACTCTATCTTGCCGCGTATCTATGTCGTACTAATGAGTATGGTGAGAGCAAGTATTCTTTATCACGTTGTCGCCCACCGTAGTTACTATCAGCTACTGTTGCGAAGACTGGAACAGTTGCTTTACATAGCAACCGCAGGATAGCAAAGTATATGGATTGGTAGGAATTACCTTGTCGAATATTCGTCGGAGGCATGCTACTGGAAATATATTTTGCATGTGAAAGTTCTGCTGCAAATGTCATGAACTATGACTATTCTGATATATCGACTGTATTGGCGATTAGTATCCTTTGTTACCTCTCCGTGAAAGTGACCGCGCCTCTATCTACAGACTGAACGACCACTTCTGCCTTTAATTTTTTTTTTTTTTTTTTTGCTAATGCTTCTTTAGTTCGTTTATTTATAGTATCTACCTGGCTAGTTTTTGCTTGATGAATACAATTAGGGGCATGGGAAATGAATGAGCAGACTGAAGGATGAGATGACTCCTGAACCGAGCCAGATGCACGATATAATACTGCATAGGAAATATCGAAGCCAAAGAAGAAATGAAAACAAGTAGAAAGGGGCAATAGAGATCTAACAGCCAGCCATTGATTGCTGGGAAGGTTAATCGCCCGAGTAGCTCCGTTTCACACGACCGACCAGAAACGCCTGTATAACAACACCGCCGGGGGGGGGGGGGAAGAAGATGGAGCGGAAGCATTTGCTCCCTCTTCCCAGCCTAGGGAAAGTGAAAGGGGATAATCAAAACAACTGAGGTAGCATAGAGAATATTGACCTCATGACCTATATCGAACCGCACAAAACGGATAAAGAGCGACAGAAGACCACCATGGGCAATATGCCCTGAGCAAAAACTTGACTGTAGGAGTTCATAAAAGTGTAATACGACTCGAGAACAACCGGGAGCGATAAAACAATATGGAAACATAGGTCTCGGATTGGAAAATGGACCATGAAGAGTATTAGTTGGTATTAAAAGTAATAGGCCTATTTGGCCTTACTGGCCACTGCAGGGCTTGGAGAAGGTGGCTCCAGAATGTGTGTATGGCCCGGAGCCCTGTAAACCTCCCCAGAGACCTCTTGTCGACAGGCATCGATGTTTCGAATCCATTCATCGGTCAAGACATCATCGAGGATCGCTCGATCTTTCACGCTCACCTTGAGCATACGGCCGATGATATAACGGCTTTCACGAGGCAGGAGCCGCAAAAGCCTCCATGGGCCCTTGATAACTTCCTGACGCTGTCCTGACGGCGGCGCCGCACCGGGAGGAAGTGGGGGTGCCTCTTTGCTGGTTGTGCGTTTAGGCTTGTTGTCAATACTACCATTTTTCTGATTGTCGCTAGGTGTCTTCTCCTGAGGGCTCTCTGGGGGTTGATTTTCGTCTTGGGTGGTTGATTCCGGTTTCGGTTGGGCTTTTGGCGCATCCTGGCCTTTAGAGTGTTCTGGTGGTGGCCCTCCATTCTTCGATTCCGAGGATTGGCTTTCCCGCGCAGATGAAGAGAGGTCAGGCGCAGACTTGATGGGTCGATGGCGTTTCGGATCAGCATCTGGCACCGGAGTCCCTGGGGTAGGGGAGGACACAAAGAGTCTATAGGAGTTATCGCTAACTCGGGGTTGTTTCCAAGGGAATCGCCGCAAACTCATGCAGCAGAAGATAATAGCCAAAGACCAGATATCCGTAGGGCGCGGGTCATATTTCTTCTCATCATATACTTCCGGGGCAAGATACGGATCGGAACCCACGATTCCTGAATGGATTTGTAAGTTCAAAAATTGTTCCTTTACGAGCATAATTGCCAAACTCACCTGAAGCAGGAACAATATCATTCTCAAAAGGGTACCGGAAAACAACAGCACTCCCGAAGTCAATTAGCTTCATAATGCCATGCTCGTTGACAACCACGTTATCCAATTTCAAATCCCGGTGGGCCAAGCCCATCCCGTGTAGATATGCCACTCCACTGAGGATCTGCTTAAAGGAGCATGCAACTTCTTCTTTTTGCATCTTGCCAGTCATAACAATCGCAAAAAGGTCAAATGGGGCGTATTCCATGACCTCATACCAATGGTTTCCTTCTTGGATGATATCAAGGGTTTCGATGATGTTGCCATGGTGTAAAGTTGACCCAATGCAGAACTCTGCTGTGACTTTCTTCGAGTATTCCTTCAACGTCTCCCACGAGTGACGGTCCCGAAACTGCTTCACGGCAAAAGTCACACCGTCGCTGTTACGTTTCAGCAACCGAACAGAGCCACCGGCTCCGGATCCTAGAACCTTCCCTAACTTCCCATACTTGGAATTGAGCCCATGATCATCGGCAAACGGGACGCTGTCGGGTGCCATTTGGTACGGCGTGCTCTTCCCAGAGGACCTGCTCGACCGTTTCACTGCCGATGATGGCGACTCGGCGCGTTTGTGTTTGTGATGACCCATCTTGAAGAATCGCTTGAGCTCCGCCATATGACCATGATGCTTACCCTCGGGTTCCTGCTGCCTGGAGTCCTTCTTGCTGCCGAAAAACCCACTACGTTGCCTTTCGCTTGCCTTCAGATCACTCGCACTTGCGGACCGGGGGGTCGATGGACGGCCGAACGACGTCTGTGCACGCCGTTTAAAGTCACGGCCGCCAAAAATAAACCGCTGATCGAGCTGAGAAAGGTTTTTAGGCTGAGGGGGACGCTTGCTGCGAGCGTACGGATCATCTGGTTCTCCTACCGGCGTGATGGCGCCAGGAGGAGTGTAGTCGACCCTAGGGGTGGTTGGCGGGCTTTCTTCTTGAGAGCTGACATCCGGTCCAATGAAGAACTGCGCCCGATGTTTTGCTCCATTCTGAGGGTGAGACGATGTTTGCGAGACATTGCCTTGCTTCGCCAGGTGGTCGGTCGAACCAGGCCGCGAAGTTGGGGCGCTTTGGGGCGCTTGGCTCTTCGTGGACCCGCCTGTGGGTGGAGACGTCTCTGGGGTCATCGCAGCTGAATTTGCGCCGGTTCCTCGATCTGTAGCATTCAACATCGAGGAAGTGCCATTAGTTTTGGATTCACGCGAATGGGTGGCCGCGGGTGTAAGTGGTGGCGATTGCATCACGGACACCGGTGGGGAGGCACGGGGAGACGGCAAACCAGATCCATTAGCTCCTCGTGTACTGCGATCGCTTGATTCTCGGGACGCAACCTGTAAGGGACAATATAGCGATCAGCCTCTTTCTCTCCCCTCAATTCGTGCGGGCCGATGCGAGGATGGTTCCTTGCAGAATATATGCAGCCCACATGCCGGCAGATACCCTGAATACATACCCTTGAAGAAGGTAGAGAGACGGGGTCATATGAGAAACTCCCCAGCCGAGACTCTTGTAGTTGGGATCTTTGTAGGCTAGCCGCTAACGACTGTAAGTCATCTACTTGCTTGGGGGTCTCGACAGGCCTTGATTCGGGGCTACCAGTGGCGGCCGACGGCTCAATTTCCTCCGTTGTCGAAGAGAAGCGGACTTGGCTCGGTTGTGTTTTAGACTTGTTCTCCTGATCAGCAGAACTCGCACCCTGCCCAGCTGGCGCTGGGACGGGTTGCTGAGTGGTCAAAGTGTCTAGTGACAAAATCAATGGTATCAGTATACAATACTTATTCTCGGCTGACGGTGGTGAGGGGCGCTGCATACCGGAATTCATGTTGTTCGCATGGGCGAAACCGGTCGCTTCAGACGTCATACTCCGCAAAATTATGTTGCGGGACACATGCCCCTCCACAGCTTTAACTGATAGGCTGGCCGATGATAATAGCGATAACTAAATCCAACGGTTATGTAGGACAACTTTTTCTTTTTGCTTATTCTCCGGAGGTGGATGTGGTTGGATATTGTAGCAGGAGGCAACCAACGAGCGAGAGGGACTAAGGTGGAAATGCGCGGAGGATTTCGTATGCAAGATTTAATCCGTTGCCGTTGTTACTCACAAAACAGTAGGCGGAAAGAAAACTGGACCCATTCGAAAACGGCAGAGAACCGAGAGTATGGTTAAAGAGACACTGGGGATAGTCCTTACGCCTCTTATCGTTTAAGGTATTTGACAAGAACCAGCAGAAGAGGAGTGGGATGCACGGAGGGGGCCGGAGTCGAGGGGAGAGATCCACCAGACGAGGAAAAGAGAGAGAGAGAGAGAGAGGGAGGGAAAGAGAGAAAGCAGGTGCGGCGGGTTTGGGGTTTGGAGCCAGAAAATGACGCCGGCGGCAATAGCGGCGCCGGACGGAGGAGGTTTAGTTTAGTGGCAGAATAGATTAGTTTGTAGCTGGGGTGGTGGGTTCGCAAAACGCCTGGGCCGTTCAAGCGGATCAGTCCAAGGTAGATTGATTGATTGGCCTCCAACAGTCGAAGGAGAAAAGACAATTCCCCTTGGTTTTTCTGGAAAAGGTTCAGTCGCTTTCGTCCTGGAAGAGAAAAGTGGTCGGGGACAAAGCGGGAGAGAAAAAGTAAAAAAAGAAAAGAGAAAAAGTAAAAGGAAAAAAGGCAAAAGGAAAAGGAAAAGGGAAAAAAAGTTTATGCAGTAATAAATCAATTGCTGAGATTCGACTGACTGTTTGCCCGTGCAGAGAAGATTGGATTTGAAACTGTCAATCGCTTCGGAATCTGGCGGAGACGGTCAACGGTATATGACAGTTAAATACAGAGTCGTCATCATTATTCTCTTGGGAATTCATTACTTTTCTCTTGGTATGAGCAATACTGAGATGAATCACCATGTGACCTGGTGGATTTGAAGCCAAGTCTTCCATTTACAGCTGTCAATTTCTCCTTGTCCTCGCAATTATGCACAAACTTCCTGTTGCATTACGAAAAGAAATAGAAACAGTAATTAAATAATAGTCATAAGAATTACAACCAACCTTAGTACTTAGCAAATATACTCAGCCTTGGGAAGCCATTCGGCCTCAAGGATGAGCCAGATGTGGTCGTTATCGGTACTACTGACCTCAGACTAATAATACCGGCAAGTGTCCGCGAACAGGATTGGAGAACAACACCCCTTCCAGACCCTCCCCTCCCGATCGGCCCTCCAACTCCGTCCACGGTGGCTGACCGTCTACCCCGCTATATGTTTCTGGATCTCATCTGGCGTGGAATTCTGCTGCATAGTCAGAGTTAGTTAAATTCACGGCTACTCGGCTGATCCGCCACCACTTGACGTTCCGCTAGAGTCGGTCGGGCTATTCACGATACTGTACTGTACGGAGGTAGATTGGTATCCAGACGTTCCACTTTCTACTTTTATCTCATACAGAGTAAATTTTGACAGGAAAGCTTCCCGCCACCAGTTTCTTGGTTCATGCTGGTCATATTACCTCATCTAACCCATCCAGCTGTTCGACGGAGTGGGGCATGGGTCACCGCTTTGGGACGCATTCCTTGCCGGGTTTAGTCACGGATGGACCTGATCTGGAAGGTTTCCAGACTCGGTTAGCTTGGCAGCCCTGCAGATTTGCCCTGTTTTTTTTTCCTTTGAGCAATCAATGTGAACAATTAGTTGAATACTACGAATAGAAGAGTCGTCCAGAATCTTCCTTCTGTCATGCTACTACTAAAAACTTCCAGATCTCTTGAGTCTACTTCCTCAACTATCGCTATAACGGTCACTTGTTGAGGGTCGTACGTGGAATGTATTAGGCAATCAGCAAATGGTTCGGAGTCCTGACTCCTAACATGTTAATTGATACCCACTCCGTCCACCAGCCGCGGGCTCCCCATGAGCCTCTTTGATCATTATCCACTCGGTACGGGTTCTTCTAGATACATACGCAGTCAACTGTACTGTAGGAAAACGTTCTTTTGAGTTATGACCCCAACCTCCGACCAAAAGTATGTCTAGAATAGACTCTAGGAAAAGGGTGAGGAATGTGGGATTCGCACTCTACTATGTAGTGCTTCGTGGTCTATCCTATCTCATTCGGGCAATACTATCTGCCTGCCAGAAGATCATCATCGAAGGTCACTCCCTGTCTAGGAGGCAATAATTGAACTGATTGCGTAGGCCAAATAGCTGCCAAGCAAGAACCTCTGACCCTCTTATTACCTTGAATGTCTATCAGGAGAAAATTCGTTGTCCTTAGTACACAGTATGTACTCAGTATCCTTGGTGACAAGAAAGGATCCGCAATTGATGGCTGCTCTTGGCGCTTATTCGGTTTGATCCCTTACGTCTCTTTTCTCGAGGTCCCTTTCATTCTGCCCCTAATTGATTTTACATCATTGTCGTCATGGTTTCTGACTTTTTTTTACTTTATTTTCTTTGTCTTATTTTTATTTTTATCTTTATTTATGTTTTTCCCCGTTACTTTCATCTTATTTCGTTTTATTTGGTTTACTCATCGTGTAATATATATCGTTTGACTCCTTATTTTTCTGCCATCATGGGAAAGGGATGTAAAGAGATATATGCATATCCATCCTTGCTCAGTCTGGAATAGACGTCACAGAATGCTTTTACATCAACTTCGGCTATCAAGGTGCCCAATCATGGTTTTGTGCTTCTCAAATCAGAAAACCGATGACGGCACATAGATGGCTAGCTTCATCTGTCTCATGCCTCAAAAGGCCTGACCCATGTGCAGATGCTTCAGATATCTGACAACGCTTTCTATATCACATGCAATTCTTATAGTACAATTGAAAACAGACTCCATACCCAAGAACGCCAGTATCATAATTCACGGCAGTAGTCGCAGCACTCGCACAGCATCAGGGATGTCAAATAAATATACAGTCGATCTTGTCCCCGTCCCATTTAGGGAACAACCTGAATGCCAATGGACTTCGCCTGGGCAATGACGCTCTTGCATAGCCCCTGCAGACTCAGTCCCGATAATCTCGTCTCAGAATGCTTGATTTGCGCGATCTCGTACACATGCTTCAGGGACACCTTGCCGACGATCTCGTGGCCTGGGTTCATGGCTCCACGTATGCGATTCTTACGAGGTTCCACGTTCGCAGCCTGTAGCAACAGCCAGGTTGTCGTTGGGGTGCGGAGATCAAATGTGAAAGAGCGATCCGGACGAACAGTGACACGCGCGGGAACGGGTACTCCGGTGTTGATATGTGCGGTCCGGGCGTTGAATTCCTATTGGAAACTATTAGTGAGTGAACTGGATCATTATCATCCCCCGTAGATATCAACTTGGACTGCTGTAGCTCCTTGACGTATCTTTGGGCTCCAATTCCTATTTTTCCCCCATGACGTACCTTGCAAAAATCCATACTCTTGACACCCTTACTACCGAGTGCCGGACCAACTGGGGGACTGGGACTGGCTTGTCCAGCGCCCACGATGAGCTTCACAATTTGATCTTTGGCCAATGCTTTTTTCGCCATGGTGGATCAGGAGTAGTTCTTGGTGGGAAACTAAATGTGGTAAGGAGTAGCGGTAGGTCAATGGTATATATGAACCGAATGGAATGAATTGTATGGACGGAGGTCTTTTCGCGGTCCCAGAGTTTTGGAGAGTTCTAAATTCGGAATGGCGCCGCGGCGACGGAATTACTTACCGTATTAACCGCAAGCGAAAGAAACGAAATGAAATGAAATGCTGAACGTCATTAAAACATTGTATTGATTTATGAAATCGAATACATATGAACGCATGTATGATTAAATGAGTTTCATTCTCGATCTGGTTATTCCATCTGGCTTCCTTGGATAATTTGTAATTTTTAGAACTTTCGTACTGTACTTGATTCGAGTTGCTATCTTGTTTCCCCTTATCAATATTGATTTCTTTGCCATCGTCAGAAGCTATTGAGTTGCCCCCCTTTGCCTCTTTCTCCCCGCGCGCTATCGATTTCCTTTCCCTTCACCTACACTTTCCTTTACTCTCTCTCTCTCTCTTCCCTCTCCCTCCACCGCTTTAACTCTACTTACACCTGTCACTTCCATCTCCCTTTAAACCCATCATGAACTGGCTCAAATCAACGTACGCATTTCCTCTCATATTTTCCATCCTGGTGGGTCTTAGATCCAACCGTGCTAATCTTTCACACTACGGCTAGCCTCGCGAGTGTTGCGGGTACGCAGGAGCCGATCTATGGCCCTGAGGCGATTCGATCTGTTGCCCAACAAGCACAAGAAGTGCCTTACACTGTTCTCTCTAAGGAGGATCTGCGTTGGCGCGCCTACCAATATACCAATGTCGAGACCAAGACCTTTTATATCATGGCCGACAATGGCACCTTAGTTTTTGTGCAGATCATCTACAGCAACATTGTGTAAGGCTATACCTCACTGCACCGGACCATATCTCCGTATCCTAGATCTTTTCCTCCTGACCGAGGCTGTCTCCGTTTTTTCTAACCTCTCTTGCTTGTGATAGTGGCATCCACACCACCGCCCAGTTCAACGCGAAGATCTTCAACCTTACTGGAGATGCCCCCCACAAGTGGTACTCGGATCCCTTGTACAATTTTATGTTCGATGAGAGCATGCTTTCTTTTGGAGCCGATAATCTCTCTCTAACGCTCAATGAGGAGGGGGATTCCTACACACTGAAATCTGCCGTAAACGAAGACTGTCTAGTGAACATCACCTTTAACCGTTCTTCCCCTGGTTTCGTCATTGGAAAAGATGGCACTTCCTACTTCGGTACAGATGCTCAGAACCCCTGGGGCTCGATGAGCCACGCATTCTGGCCCCGTTGTGGTGTTGAAGGAACGATCACCACCAAGGAGCAAACTTACGACCTCAAGGGCCGCGCCATGTTCATTCATGGTCTTCAAGGCATGAAGCCGCATCATGCTGGTGAGTGATGCCTTACAATAAGCAATTGAACAATGTGTTCTAATCTCAAGGTAGCTGCGCGGTGGAACTTCGTCAACTTCCAGACTCCCACATACACCGCCGTCATGATGGAGTTTACAACACCCCCATCTTACGGATCGACCGTGGTGAACGTTGGCGGAATCGTTAAAGACGGAGAGATCATTTACGCCGGTGTGACCAACTCGGCTACCCATACCGATGCATCCCAGGATCAGGATAGCGACTGGCCCGAGCCGAAATCCATCAAGTGGGTTTGGGACGGCAAGTCGAAAGATGATAAGGCTGTCCATGCGGAGCTCGATGGCGCGCTCGGCAGGAGATTGGACCGTATTGACGTTATGGCGGAGGTGCCAGGCTTCATCAAAACCATCGCCGGTAGTGTAGCCGGCACACGGCCGTACATCTTCCAGGTAAGGCTGTGCCACGTACGATGATGAGTTAAGCTAACTAGGATTTAGTTCGCTCCCCAAGAGAAGCTTACACTGAAGTTGAAGGTCGGAGATGAAGAAGTCTCCGAGGAGGGTGTCATGTTCTCCGAGTCGACGTTCATTTCGTGAATGACGCTACGTGCATAGATCATTGTTTACCGGGACTTGTCCATGGCGTTTTTGAGTGTTAATCGTGGATTCTCCTATTGTTGCTGCTCCTATGCAGCCGAAAACCCAACTCCTAATGTTTCACAAACATCATATAAGAATCTTTAATGATCTACATAAATCTGTATCTCCCAATCAATGTTACATATTCGGCGAAAACCTGAAACTCATACCTCCGCTTTTTGTCGTTCAAATGGGACTCATTCAGACTAGGAGCATGATCGGGATCTGGAGCAGGTAACTGATGTTCCTCTAGCTTTGGGATTTAACCTCTACAGGTAAAGAGACGACCTCGAAACAACACAGCAGACCATCTGATGGTCGAGATCACTTGTTCATTTCTGTCTCACCCGATTTTCTATGGACTGGCGCTCCCAGGATTTTACTCTCGTGAAGTTTCCTATGCTAATTACATGGCTCTTAATCCACAAGACTATCCTAGAATTCATACATTTTGGGCGTCTGGACGTCGAAGGCAAATGACGCATCTAACTTGCCCAATTTATAGGCTTTGTTTTGGAAGCATTGAGATCGCTGAAGAATGGGAAAGCTTCGGATTCCACGGATGAAGGATCCTGGATCAGAGAGTTTGTTAAAGCTACAATGGCCAGGGAGGCAGTGCTACGGACGATTCAGATTATCTTCACCCCACGTACAGGTTAAGCCACTTAAGGAGATGGGAACCGCATGGATAGGACCTGCGGAGATATGCTGCCGTATGGGTTGACGGTAGAGTATAACAAGCCTATACTGACGAAGGAGTGGTTGGAAAAGTGCTCCTCGGACACCAGATAATGCGTCGCTCGACGACCTGGACTCAATTCCACATGGGTATGTTTGCGTTGGTATTATAAGACGTACTTCCAAACTTATAATTACAGGAATGTTACTTGCGCAGTATATACAACGTTATGCTAGGCATAGCACGCTCCACACTATAGACTCAGAGAGTCTAGTTCAACTCGGACAGAATCTCATCAGCCGCCTTCTCAGCGACAATATAAGTCGAAACAGCCGTAAAGGTACCAGGAATCTTGGGGTAAACCGAAGCATCAACCACTCGAAGCCCACTGACACCACGGACCCGGAATTTCGCGTCCAGAACAGCCATCGGATCATCGTCCGCACCAATAGGGCACGTACAAGAAGCATGGTGTCCCCAAGCCGTATCCTTCGCGTACTGCTGGATATCCTCCTTGGTCTTCACGTCAGCACCGGGGAGCACCTCCGTGACATCCACGAGCTGACGATCAAACGCCTCGCGACTAAGCTCAACGGCTTCATACAGCGCCTGCAAATCGGCATCATAGTCGCCCACACCAGTGTCGAAGTAGTTGAACACGATATCGGGCATATCGAGCGGATCAGCAGACCGGAGAGTGACGCTCCCCGCGGAGTTACGGGGATGACCCTTCAAAATGGCCCAGGTAAACCAGTCATGCTCACTGGTGGCATTGATACTGTAGTTGGGGAAGTAACCACGGAAATTGACTGGACCACCGAAGACAAACACATCGTAGGAGTCGTCGGCTGTCACGCTGCTCTTATAGAACATTGTCGCCGCCAGTCCCGAGGAGGAGTAGATGCCCCGGTCTTTCAGGATGGGGGTGGGGGTTTCCCATCGGTCGATGCAGGGGTCGGCTTCGCCATTCTCGCTGAAGGTGCAGCCGTCCAGGACGGCCCAGTCCTTGGGGACGTGGCCCTGCACAGAGATCTCGTAGTGGTCCTGCAGGTTGGTTCCCACGCCCGGCAGATCGGAGATAACCTTGATTCCGAACTTCTGGAGCTCCTCGGCTGGACCGACACCGCTCAGTTTGAGGAGTTGAGGGGAGTTGTACACGCCGCCGGCGACAATGACTTCACGCGAGGCCTGCGCCGTACCTGGTGTTCCCTTGGAGTAGTCGTTTGCGAGGGGGCTGGCGCGGTAGAGGTGTTGTCCATCGAGGAATTCGACGCCGGTAGCACGGGGTGGGTTCTCAGACTCATCGAAAGTCACCTTGGTGACGAAACAGTTGGTGCGCACGTCCAATGGGTATTTCTTGCTGCCATCATCGTTCTTAGCATCACGGACAGCGAGGATGAACTCGCGGGGTCCGTTCCGGTGGGCGTCGTTGGTCGAAATCGGGATCTGATAATAACCCGGCTTGGTATCGCGGGTTTTCTTGTCGGCATTCGCATCACCGGCAAGAAGGGTTCCAACATTGAAGATGGTGTTTGTATGGTTACCGAGAGCGAAGGCACCGCCCAGGAGCAAGCTGAGAAGCTGGGGATCCTCCAAGACCAGGCTGAGTGGGGCGGTCTCGGTATGGAGCCAGCCATCGTAGCCATGGCCTTTCTGTCCAGGGAGGAGGTAGTTGTTGTTCTCTAACTTGGCAAAGTACTTGCGCATGTTATCCGGAGACCAAGAGCCATCACCGGTAAGGGTGGCAATGTATTCGAAGTCGGACTGGTGAGGATAGATTGCGATCAAGGCATTATGGGCAGTGCAACCACCTAAGGTTCCCGTACGAGGATAGAGGGTCCCCTTCATGGTTGAGCCCTCCGGTGGGTTCAGACCGGTATAGATTTCACCATCCGGCGTCTCGTAGCTTGTTTTATAGTCCCGGGCCTGTCTCTCCTCATCTGCGTAATGGCGAACGAAGAAGTTCCAGGACATCTCCTCATCCTCGGAGGCCTTTGCAGAGTAGGCAGGAATAGAATAGTTGAGGTTCAGACCCTGATCATCACCGGCCTCAATCAGCAGAGTCTTATGTCCTGCGAGGGCCAGACGAGCAGCTAATGGGCCACCACCTGCTCCAGATCCCACAACCACATACTCATATCCAGTGAGATTAACAGCCGTAGTCAGGCCAGTGCCCACGGCCAGAAGGCCCAACAACTGACGAACAAACATGATTGAAAATCAGATAGTGTGTATATTGCTCCAGAGGGGGAAAGGACTCCGGATGACTTCTTTTATATATAATAAGAAGAGTTATTTTTTCTTTTCCTTTCTTTCTTTTTTTTTTTTT